TAAGATTCTTAAGATTCTGTTGGAAAGCTGCATAAGTTTAATATACCAACCAAATCACAGGACTATATCTGCCATTAATGTTTAGGGAGTATAGTCCCACCACAGAAAAGAGGAGTAAAAGTTTAAAATATACATAAATATACAAACAAGCACATATAATACAATACAACATAGTCAACCTTACTGGTTATAAAACATTTTTCTCCCTTCTTCTCTAAAACTGCTAACCAGAAGGCTGGCAGTTCAAACCTACCAGCCACTCCTCAGAAGAAAGGTTGGGCAATCTACTTCCCTAGTGATACTGCCTCGGAAACCCAAGGAGGGGTCGCTATGAGTCGGGCCCGACTCAACGGCACACAACCACAACAACAATTCTAAAAATATTTCACCCTTTATTCAAGGGATATTTACTCAAAAGACTCTCCAATTATAGCATCAGTCTCAAATCCCATAATCATCTCTATATCAGACCTAGATATATCTTTCCTTATTCTGAAGATCTATGTAATTCCCTACATACACACACACCCGCACACACCACTGTCATGAAAATACATCAAAACCCAAACCCACAGCCACTGAGTTGATTTTCACTCATAGTGAACCCACAGGACAGAGTAAAACTGCACCATTAGCATTTCTTACTGGGTTATCTTTATGGAAGCAGACTGCCATGTCTATCTCCCATGGGGTGGATGGTGGGTCAAACTGTTGACCTTTGGGTTAGTGGCTGAATGCTTAATCACTGAGCCACCTATCATGAAAAGGGGACAAGAAAATTACCACACACACTTGTGTGTAGAATGGGGCACATCACATTCATTTCTGCAATCTAAGTATGCAGAGGTTGCAATGGGGCCTGCATTTTGCAAGACAAATGTGCCTTTTTTGGTCCCAGGTTCTGTTCCTCGGGAGCAGATGCTTAGTGGGTTTCTATGTTTCTTTACCCTGCTTTCTAGAAGGTTACTCCTAGTTTGTTATCTATATCTTGGGCATATCTGAAGATGCCAATGCAGACTCTGCCCTCCCTGGTGTTGACTGCACACTCAAACTTTTCTTTACCCATATAAGTTTGGGAAATGAGGATCATTTCAAATCTTGAGAAGTCAGTCTCTTTAAGCCCAGGCTGAAAGCTCATTTAAGTTTAACGGGGTTTTTGTTGTTGTTGTTGTTTGGCCTTTAATGTTCAGCTTTACCTAAGTTATGGTGCAGTAACAAACAACTCCCAAATCTCAGTGGCTTACAGTAAGAGTGAGCTTCCCCACCTTCCTCAGTGAATTCCACTGTGGGCCAGCAAAAGTTCTGTGCCATGTCCTCTACCGTTCTGTGTCCATGTTGAGAGAATGATGCTTAATTTCGACCTGCTGCCTCAGAACATGAGATGTAGCAGAGCCATATATTGGTAAGTGAAATTCTTTGTCTATGCTCATTTGACACTGGCCAAGCAAATGTCATGTGTACGAAACCAAAACTAAACCAAATCCACTGCTGTTGAGTCAATTCCAACTCACAGAGACCCTATAGACAGAGTAGAACTGCCACATAGAGTTTCCAAGTGTGTAAATATTTACATAATTAGATAGCCACATTTTTCTCATGTGGAACAACTGACCTTTTGGTTCACATCTGAGAGCTCTAACCAACATGCCACCCGGGCTCCACATGTGCACGATGTTAAAGTATAATCCCCTAACAGGGAGGGACGGATAGTAACACCTTCCATAGAGCAGAGCCCATTTTTTATAAAATTACAAATTAGATGACAGAATTCCATCTCTGAGGACTAATAGTTCATTAATCCATGAGCCCTACATGATTTTGCCACTTCCTTGCAAATCACTTAGTCCCCAGTATGTTCTTACAGCCCCTATTGACAAATGTAGAGGATTATCCACCTCACTGGGCAGCACACACCTGCATGTTAAAATCAGCTGGAACAAGAGTGAGAATAAAACAAACATATAAACCATTCTCTTCAGTCTTTTCCTTTGTTCCTCCTCTGACTGAGTCCACAGTGCAGCCGGAATACACATGCACATCTCCATAAAGGACACAGAAATCTTCACAGACGAGTCATCTCAAGGGTGAGACGTCTGCCGTAAGTCAGCAGGAGTGAGGGGAGAGAGCAACCCAC